GCTTTACCCCCACTGAACTACCAGGGAGGGCCATGCAGGAAAACCTTTTAAAGGAGAGGTTTACAAAAAAGTAATTTTTTGTATTTGGAAAAAGGAACAAAGTTATGTGTGTATATGTTTCCAAGATGTCAGAACCTACTTAAAATACTTAAAGGTAAATGCTTTAAGAAGACAGGTTCTTCTATTATAACTTATTCTATTATCAAAGCATCTCCAGTCTTTAAAATAAATTGATATTTTATGGAAAAAGCTATCATTACTTTTGTGTTGTTTCTCCCCAACTCCCAACACTTCCTCACTGGAAGCTGGATTACTGTGCAAGTTTGAAGAATCTTGAAACTATTTCTGACAGACAAAACTACAAATTTATCCAGGTAAGAAAGTTTTTATATAACTATAGTTATATAGTTACTATATTGTACTTCTCTCATCAGTCAGAAATGATATCTATTTCACATGAACTTAGAAAGCACACTTATTGAAGACCTCTTCATTTCTGGGAGTTCTGTGGACACTGGCGAATACTGTTTTGCGCCACCAGTGCATAGCAAGCCATGTGTGATTTTTGATGCCTTGGCAGATCTGAATAGTTGATTGAACTTACATGCTTTCTGATGTTTGCATCCTGACTAGCCTCTTTTAAAATGAACTTAATGGCATTGAAAGAGATTGGTATAGTGTGCTGTTACTCAAAAAGAACAGCTACTGGCCAAACCTTCCTCTCTACCGTCCATGGAAAAGGCTTTCCCTAGGAGGCTGGTTGGTTTGCGCTGGCAGGCTGATTCTCACTAACCACTCTTAGAAGAGTCCAAAGTCTAAAGCAGAGAAGCAGGTCAAACCTGCAAAGGGATGTTTTAATGTCAAATGGAAGTGCCCAATGGTTTGTCTTTTATTTAAGTCATTTTTTCAACTTTCTTTTTAAAAACACATTTTGAAAAATATTTATTAAGTAACCACTTTACAATTCTCTTCTTTATGGAGGTCTTCTTCCATCACTAAAGAATGGTTACAAATATATATTTTTAGAAGAATTAAATGTTCATGTAGCATCAAAGCTACACATTAGTTTGCTTTGTTGCTATGAAGTACAATTTTGAAAGTGTCATTCCAGTCAGTAAACTTTAAATGTACTTCAATAACATGTATCAAATCTTTAAAAATATATTTACATTTTTCCTGTTAATATACTAGCCTTAATTGGCACAAATATTATGAGAAAAAAACTAATGTCATTCTCAGTAGTTAGTACTCAATAAAATATTGTTTCAGCTACTTACTGGCAAAATATATTTTAAGTTGAATATCTTATCTCCTAAGATGCTAAAGAAAAATACCATGCTTCCATGAGCACTTAAGTTAGATTTTTAAGATACTCTGTATTAAACCAAGCTGACAGATTGGGCCTCCCTGCTGGCACCAGGGATTAAGTCTCAGCAGCCACTTAGCATGAGTTTGAGCCCCAGCCAAAAAGCTGATCCACATGGCGTGGCAGACCTCTCTGGCCTCCCCTCTGCCCCCTCAGCAGTGGATTTCAGTCCATCTGCCTGTTCTGCTCCCCGCTCTGTCTCTGGGGAGTCCTCTCATACCCTCCCAGCCCCCCCCCACATCTCTGGCCTACATTCCAGCTCTTATATGCATAAATAAATAAAATAAATCTTAAAAAAAAATAAACCAAGGTTATTGGAAGGGAAATTTCTTTGTTTTTTTTTTCTTGTTCTTTTTTGTTCATATATTAAATGGGGATTATAAATGTGAGTATTCAATAAAATGTACTCTTTTTTTCATTTTTTTATAGGGTGACATATGTGACTCTCACTTTGTAAAACTGCTTTTTGAAACAGAGAAAATAGATATAGTCCTACATTTTGCGGCACAAACACATGTAGGTAAGCATTCTTCTATGTTACCGTTTTGAAGGGCAGTTTTTCTCCCCAGTTGTTAACGAGTCTAAACCAAAGGTTGGGAGTGGGTTGGAACGAGGAGGTTATTTAGCATGTATCATTGGAAGAGCATATGTTACCAGACAGATGAGACATGGCCACTGGCATTGAAATCCTTGGAGCTTGGCAGGGCATATTTATGGAGAGGTAAAAGTGCATGCTATTTTAAAACTGTTTAATTTAGCCCAGTTCAGGGTAGTGATCACTTCTGGGCCTGCAAATGTATCTCTTTGGGTTCCTTAAACTGGGTAATGATGGATGCACAGTTGAACATTATATTATGACTTATGCTGTTTTATGTATGTAAGGTATGTTCCTAATTTAGTCTAGCATTTTCTGTAGTGAAATGTGGTGTATATTCAGAAGAATTTAAAAGTCAAATGAATACTAATAATGTGAATATCCATGTAGCCATCGCCCAAACAAAAAACAGAATGTTGCTGAACTCTCTCTAGTGATTTATCCTCACTGCCTTATTTCCTCATTTTATTTTTTTTTAAAAAGATTTATTTATTTATTTGTACAGAACTGGGTACAGGCCAGAGATGTGGAGGGTGAGAGGATTCACCAGAGACAGAGTGGGGTACAGAACAGGCAGAGCAACGAAGTACGCTGCTGAGGGGAGCAGCGGGCGGGTCAGGAGAGGTCTGCCGCGCCATGTGGCCACCTCCGGGGCAGGCGGGGATCGAACTCATGCGGAAGTGGCTTAAGCTTCTTTGTGCTGCCCTTTAACCCGCTGCGCCACCAAGGAGGGCCCTTATTTCCTCATTTTAAAGTAAAAATTACCCTTGATTTTCTCTACCATTTCACTCTGTATGTATTTATCTCTAAACAGTATACTCTGGGTTTTAAAGTTTTATAAAACTGTTATATAATATGATGTGGGATTTTGGTTCTTGCTTTTTCATCCATGTAGTTGGATGTAAGTGCAACTTGTTAATTTTTGTTGGTATTTTTATTTTAGGTATATAAAATGCCTGAGATTATGCCATACATTGCTTAACAGAGTTCCAGTCACTAGCTCACAGCACAGCATCATGGCCTGAGCGTGAAGCAGGCGTCTAGGTTGGGGGAATTAAACCCTGTGACCTTTGCTGACTTGCTGGCATGCTCTGCTCACAGCTTAGCCCTATGTTAAGGGACGCCCGACCTAAACCACAGTTTATCTTTTACCCTCAGTGGGCATTTGGATTGTGTGTACTTTGGGGCGCTTTTGAGCATTCCAGTCACAAATGTCCTGACAGCTGCATAGTACCCGCAAGCCACCTATCTGATTTGCACACTGAGATGATTCCAGCTGTTTTCCAGTGATGCAGGCCTGTGTAAGACTGTCTGTTGCTCCAGATCTCACCAGAGCTTAATTTTTTCAGACATCTCAATTTTTGTCATTTTGTGCAGTGTGTAGTAGTAGTTTGCCTAGATGTTGCCAAATTTCTTTCCTTAGGTGTTGTGTTTTGCATTCTCATTCCCATTATAGAAAGTATCTTTCCCCTAAGTCCTCATCAATAGGATGTATCGTCTTCCATGAGTTTTTCATTTAAATTTCTACATTATCATTCAAATTCAGCATCTTAAACATAAAGATCTTTTGTATATTTTTATCTAAATTATGTGTTTATGTCTCCTACTGATGTTAATATAGGCCTGTTCCTTTTTTTCTGTATAACTTGTTTATAGATTGAAGATACTAACCTTTGTATCTAGCAAATTCAAATATTTCCCCATTTTCCAATTATCTTTTTACTTGTCTATATGTATGTACACACATACATATATGTAAGCCATGCAAGAATTTTTATGTAGTCGAATGTATCATTTTTCCAACTTTTGCTTCTGTTTGCAAGTCTGTTAGGGAAGCTACCCACCCCCAGATTAAGTAGGATCAATTCTTTAAGTGAAATTATTTTAAGTATTTTATCCAGCATTTATCGTTTTCAGCAATCACAGCTTGACCTGAGAAGACCAGCCCTGGTTAGTAGAAAGTGGAGGTTTCCAGTTTCAAAAAATCAAAATTCAGATGTATCATTTTTTACTCTTCTGAATAAAACGAAAAGTATTTTCTTGCACACTTAGCACTGATTGTTCTCTAGATTCTCAGAGTGTGTGTTCAGTAACCTGGGCTTGAGGAACTCAAGCAGCAATGTGTTTGTATGTTGTTTTTAAAAGCTGCCGTAGTGAGCGGCAGTGAATGGTGTTTTGAATGGTGCTCTCCTTCCACCTGAGGCACCACAGGCCAATCATTTGGTCTCTGATGTATTTTGGGTCAAATTGTTGTAGCTTTTCCTTCTTTTTTTCCAGATCTGTCATTTGTACGTGCCTTTGAGTTTACGTATGTCAATGTTTACGGCACTCACGTTATGGTAAGTACTGCCCATGAAGCCAGAGTGGAGAAATTTATATACGTCAGCACAGACGAAGTCTACGGAGGCAGCCTCGATCAGGTAAGCTCAGGAAAAGCTCCTTTGCCTGTACACCACGGGCCATGACGCAGTCCACGCTCTTCCGTTACGCTCCACTCTGGGCTTTTTTCATCTTCTCATTATTTTCACTCGTGGGACTCCCCAAAGTGTTACTCAGTTGTATCTTCCTTTCCACTAAAATGATGCCACCCCAATTGAGAAACAGCAGCCTGGTCTGGTAGAGCTGGAGGGGTAGCAGCAGATCTCAGCTTTTTAGCTCAGCCCTACCTGATGACTGTCACTCCCCAGGGTCAAAGCACTTCTGAGTTAGGCCCTTGATCTCGCCCTCATCTCCTCTTCTACTGAGAAAAAATATACTGGAACGTCCAGCTGAGTGTGATGACTGTAGAAACTGGAACCTGGTCTCTCTTTTTAATCATTTGTAAATTTTATTCTTTGTATACAAAAAGATAGGTCTCTTCACCAGTTTCTATTTTTCATAGTATTTGCAGTGACCTTGTTCCACCCATCCATGCATCCATCCACCCACCCATCCAGCCATCCACTCATCCAACCATCCACCAGTCCATCTAAACCCAAACACCTAAAGAACACACCCACCGAAAGTGCTCACATAACATTGTCAGCAGGTTCTCAAAAACTGCAGCTTTACTCCAACCAGCATATAATGAAAGCAGGTCCTTGGGTAACCTTGTTTAACTAGACATGATTGAGTTGTATTTTTCCTTATCAAAGTTGCAACAAAATGACATTGAGCAAAAGGGATATTCAAGGGCCTGCTGTGGTTTGAAAGACTTAGAATGAGGACAAGCAGACCCCAAACACTTATTCTCAGTCTCATCTCTGAGAAGCAACTATTTTCAACTTTCTTTGCAGTTTTTTAATCAGGTGACCTTCTTCCCTCTGGGACCCTACATCAGATCTGACACAGTAATAGAATACTTTTTAAAATATAAATCAGATTACAACCTTACTCTTAAACCTGATCATGATTTGACAGTGGGCCTCGAAGGTTCCACTTACCTTCGCCTCCATTCTGCCTCAGGGCCTTTGCACTAGCTGTTCTTTCTGCCTGCCTAGTAGAGGTTGGTGGATTTTAAAGAAGCTACTATCTGTAAAATGCCTAGAAAAATGCCAGTCACACACTGGAGTTGCAGTAAGTATTTCTTAAAAATGTAATGTGATAATAGTGATTGACCTTTCAAATGTGTGACATGTTTTCTGAGTTTTCCACTTCAGAAGTATGCATAATGCTGATTTTTTAAATATATATATTTTTTAAATTAGGAATTTGATGAATCTTCCCCCAAACAGCCTACAAATCCTTATGCATCATCTAAAGCAGCTGCTGAATGTTTTGTACAGTCTTACTGGGAACGATATCAGGTAGGAACTGATTTCAGAAACTCCTGTGTCATTTTTCTTTGGATGCAGGTGTTAGCACTCCAAGTTAGCACTAGCAACATTTTATTTTTAGAGTAGAAGCCATAGATTAGGAAAAGTGACAGAGCCCACTCAAAAGACTGTATAGAATCTTAGAGGGGGTCTCTGAAATTACTAGGTGCAAGTGCCCTCAATTACCTGCTCTGACTTACAAACCTTCTGTTTATATCTCCCTTGGCCCACTGAAGAGGTTATTCCTCTCCTTCTTTTCGGAACCTCTGTTTTTACCTGAATCACATCCTTGCCTGTCTTCAGGAAACTGATACTAGAAAAACAATCCCTCTGCTTCTGCCTTTTAACATGAGTGGAATTCTTTTTTTTTTTTTTACCCATTAATTATTTTCTTTTTCTTCCATGGGTTAAGTCCCCATGGCTCTCCCACCAGCATGTCACCAGGGAACCATCACCATATTCCCTTGTGTTCTTCCTAACTGTATTATGACCTCTTTCTCTCCCTCTTTGCTAGATACGTCAGACCTATGATCAGCAAGAGAATTTTGACTTTTTTTCTTGACCTATTTGGATTCTCTATATTCCACATATAAATGAGACCACTTGATATTTATCTTCTTTCTTTCTTCTAAATTATTTTGACTAGCATAATACCTTTCAGCTCCATTCTTGTAGTTGCAAATGGCCTGAATCTGTCTTTTTGACCACTAATATTCCATTGTATAAATATACCACATCTTTTTGACCCACTTGTCTATTTTAGGGCATTTGAGTTGTTTCTATATCTTGGCTATTGTAAATAGAACTACAATAAACATAGGCATGCAGGAGATCACTAATTCCTTTTGAATTAGTGTTTTTGTGTTCTTTGGGTAGATTCCTCAGGGAGGAATATTGGATCATATAGTAGATCCATTTTTGGTGTTCCAAGGAACTTCCAACATGTGTGGAGTTCTTTAGCCAAAAGTACCCACACCTGAAAACTGTCTGTCTCTAAGTAATGATTGTTACTGGGCCTTTCATTATTTTAACATTAAATCCTATTTAAGTTCCCAGCTGTCATCACAAGAAGTAGTAATGTCTATGGACCACATCAGTATCCAGAAAAGGTACATTTTACTTCTAAATTCGTAGTGTACTTTAGTGATTGTAACTTCTCTTCAGTTGTTTGTTCAGGATAACCTGCATCCTAAATATGCATACTTGCATGTCTGTGTATGTGTTCTGTAGCACACAGTCAGATCTCATCAAGGACAGCATACAAGACTTGAGCGGAAGCTCCCACCCTAGACCCCCGCTGGCATGGCCTTTGACCCTTTGAGGTTAAAGGCCTCTAAATTGGAGGTTAAAGCTAACACTTAAAAAGGAGTTTGAAGGACCTCTGAGATGATACCATGATGATACACATGATAGTACCTTGTTCTTGGTAGGATCTCAAAGTGTAGGTAGCAAAAAATAAGCATCATTAAAAGGTGGAAAATGCCTGCATGTCATTGAGTCCAAGTTGAAGAAATCCAGGAAGAAATTCTGCTTAAATCCAGGGACTGGATTTTGTGCTTCCTGGCTGGCTCCATTAATCTCTGCCCATAGGGAAGGGTGCTATGATCTGCTGGTTATTGGTAGTTACTTTGCTTAACTATGGAGGATCTTTAAGGGGTCTCCTGTACAATTAGTTATTTCTTATTTTGCCTTGCTTAACAAATTTTCTTTGACTCCAGGTGCAACTGGAATTGACTTTTTATTGATTTCAAGCACTGATTGAGTGGGTGCTCTCGTAAAATACTGATAGTAAGAGATGATTCCTGCCCTTGTAACATGGTCAACACAAAAGTGAGCTTTGTGTTAAGAGCTAACTATTTATGGAAACTTAGTTTGAATTTTTCCACTGTATTGCTTTATCTTCACATTTACCTAGCAGACAACTGGTTTCTTTTGGAACTAGGAAGCTGTGTTAGAGTTCTTTATGTATTAAAATCATGGTTGCTTTTTCCTTGCACTCTTGATAAGAATTAGTATCCAAATATCTATATTTCTTATGTTGTGTTTGGATTCATCTTAATGTGAAATTCCATTAAAAGTGAAATTCCAAAATCTGAAGTGATATTTCCATGTTCTTCTAGGTTATTCCAAAATTTATATCTTTACTACAGCACAACAGGAAATGGTATGTTATCATTTAGCTTTATACTCACGTCATTCTGGCCGTTGATAGTATTCAGTGACATCTTTTTTGAAAAATCGTAAAGTCTTAAAGATGGAGACCATAGACTCGAAAGTCCTAACGAATTTTAGAATGCCTTCTACAATTATGATAATGTTGTTTAAATAGTTAACAATCTCTGTTCATCTTTATAAATTTATTTGCTAAGATAGTTTCCAGTCTCAATCAGTCCCAGAACTTTGACTTATGGCATTAAAACTTGACAAATATCTTTATATAATCTTACTTTTCCCAGATGATTTATTTAATTCCTAGGACTGTAGAAGTTTCTTCAAAGTAAATTGAAGGTCTAAAATTGATAAATATTCTCAGGGTCACTTTTATGCTTGCCACTTCCCTCCAGAAGTGTGGAGATAGCTTAAGAATTAAGGATATGTTTCTACTAAAAGCTTTCTAGGACTCCCTGGGATTTGCCTTCTTTGGATTTGTACCCAGTCGTGAACTTACTCAGCTTTGGGAGTGCTTCCTTTGTTACACATTCTGATTCCTTTTCATTTGACCTTTATAGCTGCATTCATGGATCTGGGCTTCAGACAAGAAACTTCCTTTATGCTACTGATGTAGTAGAAGCATTTCTCACTGTCCTCAAAAAGGGAAAACCAGGCGAAATTTATAATATTGGAACCAATTTTGAAATGTCCGTTGTTCAGCTTGCCAAGGAGCTGATCCAACTGGTGTGTATCTCTTGTGAGAGGGCAAGTTGCAAAGTGTCACAAAATCAGTTAACAGTTGTCTCAATTGAAAAGGGAACACGTAAAAAATGAAATTTAAAACTGTTTAAGCCATGTTTATGTTAGCATACATCCTTTTTTGAAGTTGTATCACTACTCACTTAGTAACAACTTTTCCAAAAAAAAAAAAAAAAAAAAACCCAATACATTAAGTGTTCAGACCTATCGTAAGACCTGCCGCACTTTTTAGAAATATAAAATTATGTGTCTTAGACTGAAGGAACGATGATACTTTTGAGAGTTTGTAGATATCAGGGAACGTCAGTCAGGCTGAACAGGTGACTACATATGTGAAGTTACCTCCTTACACATCCCTCACAGAACACCAAGCTCTCCAAATTTGTGGGTTTTCAATACCAACCAGTTTCCACACCAAGATAACAGCTGGGTGTCCTACAGTTTGACCCAATTCTGGGATTACCTAAAGATATTTTTAGATTTTGCAGGTCAAGGGGTTAGTCCCACATAACCTTCCTCTCTTGGGGGCCCCATCACAAGAGCTGGCTGCCGCCTGGGATTCTGACCCACTCGCTGCAACAGTTTGTTAGAGTGGCTTGCTGGGCTCAGCGAGGAAAGCAGTTTGCTCACTAGAGTATCACTTTTTTTTATAAGAATATAACTTAGGAGTACCAGGTAGAGGAGATGTGTGGGACGAGGTATTCAGTAGCCTGGAAGCTTCTCCCAGTCTGTTCTCTAGGGTTTCCATGAAAGCTTCATTAAGTGGGCATGGTTGATCAAATCATTGGCTCTGTGTTCTTCCTATTATCTATCAAAAGTATGAATTTTCTTATCATAAATCATAAACATCACTCTGACTGATAACCAGAAGCCCCCAATTTTTCATTTTCTACCATAATTTGTGTAGACAATGTGTATTCTGAGCCTTAGATGGAATTGATTGATAAAATGTAGAAAGCCTCACTGGCATGCTCTCCAGTAAGCTGTCTCCCCCGCTTTGAGGAGGTTGCTTTTGTCTTTTGTATCAACCACTGGACACCATTGTTATTCTCTGTCTAACGTACAGTTTGGCTCAAAATCCTCTTCCTTTTTGACAGATCAAAGAGACCAATTCAGATTCTGAAATGGAAAACTGGGTGGATTATGTTCACGACAGGTATGTCACAAGCTAAAGCATTGGTGAGGGGAGAGGAGTTGTGTAATCTTAGCTACTGATAACATTATGTAAGTTATATCACATCTGGGCTTAACAAGAAACTAGTTTCTCTCTTGAATTTTCTGCTGGTTTTTTTTTTATAATTAAAAATGTCGGCCCTCCCTGGTGGCGCAGCGGGTTAAAGCACTGCACTAAGAAGCTTAAGCCACTTCCGCATGAGTTCCATCCCCGCCTGCACCGGAGGTGACCACATGGCGCGGCAGACCTCTCCTGACCCGCCCACTGCTCCCCTCAGCAGTGTACTTCTGTGATCCGCCTGTTCTGCTCCCCACTGTGTCTCTGGTGAATCCTCTCACCCTCCGCATCTCTGACCTGTACCCTAGTTCTGTATGAATAAATAAATAAATCTTTAAAAAAAAAATGTCATAAGAGTAGTATATGGTAGTGTACTTACCAGCTACGTGGCTTAAAGAAAAGGTTGATTCTTTTTTATAGGAATAATAATATGGATATAATATTTTGCTTACCAAGGTATTTTAAGGTTTAGTTATAATGCATATAAAGTCTCTGACTCAGGAGTGGGAACACTAAGTTTATGTGGCTTTATTTATTTATTCATCAAACACTTAGGTTTGAAGCACAGAATTCATATCTAGTTGGTGTTTGAAATAAAAAAGGATAAGCCACAGAGAGGGTCATTCATCTGCAATGATAGATGAGTTTAGTCAGACTTAAATCACAATAAATGATTTAAGTACAGATTTAAATCATAATATATTAATTTGTCTTAATATGTAAGGTACATATAGTTTAATATATGCTTTATTTTACACATTTCTATATAAGCATGTTACCAGGGAGAAATTTTTTACCAAAAAGAATTGCACTGTGATAAAGATGCATGAACACATTATTTCTTGCAGTATTTAAATCTGGAAATGCATATATCTCTGACATCACTTTCAATCTGTTTTGTTTTCCAAGACCTACCAATGACATGAGATATCCAATGAAGTCAGAAAAAATGCATGGCTTAGGATGGAGACCTAAAGTGCCTTGGAAAGAAGGGATAAAGAAAACAAGTATGTGTTGAATTGATCGTCTGGGTGGAAGAGGGATTCAGAAAATGTAAAGGAAAAGTGAATTATTTTTAGCATTGGACAAATTCAGCAGAGTGTGATGAATCATTTTGACTTTCAAATTATTGTTCCAGATGCATCACTGTTAGTAGCAATAGTAGTGCAGGTCCGAAGCAGTTTCAGTTTCAAACTTCTGATCACCTTTCCTATCTTACTAGCATTTATCAGATTAAGATTTCACTGATTCCCAGCTGCTCATTCTTTCACGTTTTTTTGACATCTTGGAAAGGTATGTGTTTTACAATCATCTTTGTCTTATGATTACTTTTGCAGCTTTTTCTCTTTCTTAGTGCTGTTAAGGGATGGACCATCTTAAAGACCACTGGCTAGTTACGGTCAGTGGCTAGTTAGATTTGATGAAACAGAGTTGAGTCTTGAGTATCTTGAGTTTTTAAGTATTGAAACAGATAGGAAAAGCATTTGGTATGTGCAGAAATTTAAGTATGTAAAATATTTTTGTAGAAATACTAAAATTTATTTAGAAATGCAAGCTCAAACTATAAAGTGGTTGTGCTGAATTTTAAAAATTAAATTCAAAGATTTTTTTACCAGTTTTTTTTTTTTTTTAACTAAAAAGCTTTACTCAGAGGCTAGCAACATAAAATAACTCTGCACATTGACAGATAGAAGCACCTCTACCTCACAGGCTCATAAATGCAGTGTTGCTACAGTTACAACAAGCTGCTACACTTACCCCCTACAACTTTAAAGTCAGTACAGATGGTTTATATCCTACCTCCCTCCCTTCTGATTCCTTAAAACTTAAAAATGTCGGCCCTCCCTGGTGGTGCAGCGGGTTAAAGCACAGCACTGAGAATCTGAAGCCACTTCCGCATGAGTTCAATTCCCTTCTGCCGCCTGCCCCGGAGGTGACCACATGGCGCGGCAGACCTCTCCTGACCCGCCCGCTGCTTCCCTCAGCAGTGTACTTCGTCGATCTGCCTGTTCTGCTCCCCACTCTGTCTCTGGTGAAGCCTCTCACCACCCCTGAGCCTCTGGCCTGTACCCCAGTTCTGTATGCACAAATAAATAAATAAATCTTAAAAAAAAAAACAAAACTAAAAATGTCTTTAACACTTAATACCAGCAAATTTCACATTGAAGGACCTTTGAATTTAAAAAGAAAAAAAAATTGATTTTAATGCTAACTGTTTGGGGAGTGGAAGATCTTCTGGTTTACTTCTTCGGTTAGCTTAGAATCAAGTTCCTTCTGTCATTAGCCAGCTCTTGGCAGCTGATGAACTGATGACAGGCCTTCCCTTACCTAGCAAGGAACTCAATAAAATACTGGTGAGCTGATAATTTAGTTTTTTGACTCCTCTCTCTTGTTTTTTTTTTTTTTCCGATCAGTTGAATGGTACAGTGAGAATTTTCACAACTGGAAGAATGCAGAGAAGGCACTAGAACCCTTCCCAGGCTGACCCCCACACCTGTAGTTCTGGACAGTTTTCACAGCGAAACTTACCCTACCTCAGCAAGTGGCACGAAATCACGTGTCTGAATGGCACAGTCCTCTCTTCATCTGGAACTCGATTCTTGACTTCTGTGGAATTGAAAGGCAGAAAGCTTCAATCTTGACAGGAGTTTCAATACTAGCACCGCATTTAAATATGTACATCTTTCAGAAGCCTTCTCTTCTGGAGACTGGGACCAAGAGGCAGAGAAAGAGCCCTCTCTGAGGTTGGGGAAGCGCAAGGAAGGTCCCCAACTCTGAGGAAGCAGAGGGCACTAGGCCAGTCACAGCTGGGTCAGTGAGGCTTTTCTTAGGGACCTCACTCAGCTTGCAAACTTCCCATTGCCAGAAAGTGTCTAAAATCCTTTGTAAATACTATAGAATGAGACCTATGCCTTAATTCATCTTTTTTTAAGGTTTGATCATTGTTTTGTTTCAAAAAATGGAGCAAAATGGATGCATATCTAGCACTTTTTGACTTTTGATAATTTTGTAAAATTAAGTTAATATTTTAAAAGGATGTTATTTTTCATTTTCTCAAAATCAGTCACTGAACTATATATAGAAGTAACTGGGTATCAGAGAAATTGTATCATGTATCATGTATGTTGTTTAAAATTATTTATAAAATTATCAGTATTTTAATGTAATTTAATTGTAGGCTAGAACTTTTATTAATAATGTATGTTTTTATTTTGCTTTTCAAAAAAAAAATTTTTAAATACTTAATCATGTATTTTTTTACTCTCCTCTCCCCTAAAGACTTTAAGATCATTCGAGGAAGCGACTGGCTGCATTGCTAAAGAAATAAGAGAAATTGGGTACCTTGTGGCACCATTGGCGGGATGTAAAATGGGAAAATAACCTGTCAGGGCCTCGAGAACTGAGCATGTTCACCACGTGCTCGAACAATTCCACTTCTAGTACTTACCCAAGGTCAGTGAAAGTGGGCACTTGGTTCTTGGCCACCAATGTTTATAGCAGTCTTATTCACAATAGCCAGGGGTGGAAACAGCCCAAATATACACTTATGGACCAATGGCTAAATCAGATGGGTATATACATGAGGCACTGAAAACAGAAAATTCATAGAGGCATTGTAGAATAGAGGCTTCCCTGGGGGGAGGGAGACTTCACAAGGGGAAAGGGAGGAGAGGCAATAGTTATTATCTAATAGGTACAGAGTTTCCGTTTGGGGTCATAAAATAGTTTTGAAAATGGGTAAGACCAACATGGAATGACACTGTGAATGTGTTTAATGTCACTGGGTTTTACACTTGAAAGTAGTTCAGATGGTTAGTATTATGTTGTGTCTGTTTTACCGCAACAATAATTTTGTAATGTGTCTCCAGACCAGAATATCTGTGTCACTTAGAAATCAGAGAAACTCTGGGTATGGGTCTACTGATTCTGATGTACCCCAATGTCTGAGAAACTCTATATTATGATACAAGATGAGGTGGGGTGACACAAGATGAGAGGAGTGAGATGGTCAGGTGCACCCCCCAAATGCTTGGACCTCTTCCTGCCTGCAGAACTAACTCAGGATTCCAGGGAAGAAATTGGTATCAGTAGATTTGTGGGATTTTCTGTTTCCTAATTTCAAAAATACCTGTGCTCATTGTAGAAAGCTGAGAAAACTGAATAATATAATGAAAATCATCCATGATCTGCCCCTGGAAGACAACCCACTCGTTCGTTTCACATCTTGGAGCACATACACAAATTTCTAAAAACCAGATATGGGTTCATAATAGACATGCTGTTTCAGAGTCTGCTTTTTTTTTCCCACTAAGTAATATATCATGAATGTTACGAGATCTTTTGCCATTTTTATTGACTCCAGAATTATGTTCTTGATGGCTTATTCTGGCAACAGCGTGAAAGATGAATTTAAGGGAGGCAAGATTGAGCTTCTGCAGATATCCAAGTTATGAAGCTGTTGCAGTAAATCAAGCTGGCAGTGACAAGGTCTAAGCTACAGCAGGATAAACAGGGTAGTGTTGGGGGCAGACGGGTAAATTCTCTAGATTAAAAAACTTGTTGATTGATTATACATGGGAGGTTCACTTTCTTGACTTCATTGCTATTGAATTGGAAAGACTAGAGGATAGTAAATTATATTTGCAAAATGTTGAGCTTTAGAGATCTGTGGCATACCCAAGTGGAGGATCTAGCTAAAACATGGATGAGAGCATTCACTGTTCAAGATGCATAGATACATTTTGAGGGGTTAACACGATGATTACTAACCTCAGTGTGTGTTAAATCCTCCCCCCAGGAGAGGATACAAAATGTCAAGGCTGATGGTAGCTGGCGCAACTCACAGGCCACCCATGAGACATGCCAAGTTCCAGGTTACAGGCAGATGAAGTTTAAAAAAAAAAAAAGATTAGAGCAATGAACTAGAACAGGAGGAAACAATGCCACGGTAGACACCCAGTAACAAGCAGGAGGCCCCCTGAAGCTGAGTAGTGGGGAGACTTAAGTGGCCCCGATTGGCTTGGGCAGTGTACAGGCAAATTAGCTAGAGTCATTTTAGTGGACTCGAAGGGTTTGATTGCCCATTTGTTTTGTCTCGTTATCAGCCACATAGAGTAGATGGTATTTGTCCCTCTCTAATTTCCCTTAACATCATCCCCTTGATTCATGTTGCCAAGAACAGCAGGGTTTAATAATTTTTTTATAGTCAGTCATGTTCCATTGTGTACAGACCCCATCTTCTTTACCCACTCGTCTGTTCATGGGCATTTAGGTTGTTTCCACCCCTTGGCTATTGTGAATAGTGCTGCAATGAACACGGGGGTGCAGGTAACCTTTGGAATCATGCCCTTATGTTTGTCCCATAAATAGCCAAAAGTGGATGTCCCAGGTCGGTCTTACCTGGTCACATAAAGCAGACAGATAACAACTTCTAGAAACCTGGTGGTGGAATTGAGACTACCAGAATGGGAGGGGCAGGGGTGAGGAAGAGTGGGGAGGGGGGCCCCCTGGACCATGGTGGACTATGGGTGCGTTGGTGCTGGGTGTGGAGTGGTAACAACACCTAAAGGGGGGTACCTCATACCTCTAAATCACAGATTATGTTGTAAATCAATGTTTCCTCAATTTTTAAAAAAGCAAGAGCAAAAAAAAAATTAAACATTTTTGGCTACTATGAATATACAATGAAAGTGTATGCTCTTTGGCATTGTCTCTTGGTCCCTTTCTCTCTCGGTTTTTTTTTTTTTTTTCATTTTTATTTATTTTTGCTTAAAAGAACTGAGATGTGGGCCAGAGTTGCAGGGGGCAAGAGGATTCACCAAGACAGTGGGGAGCAGCCCAGGCACACCCACTGAAGCCCACTACTGAGGGGAGCAGCAGGGAGACAGGAAAGTTCTGCTGCACCATGTGGGTCACCACCCTGCCCAGGGGTCGAACTTGTGCTGCAGTGGCTGTGAAGAGTGTCACAGTGCTGCGCTTTAACCTGTTGCGCCATCAGGGAGGGCCCTGTAATCTTTATTTCTTAAATTCAGGCAGTGGGGAAGGTTCTTTTTTTTGTTGTTGTTAAAGATTTATTTATTTGTTCATACAGAACTGGGGTACAGGCCAGAGGTTCAGGGGTGGCGAGAGACTTCACCAGAGACAGAGTGGGGAGCAGAACAGGCAGATGGACGAAGTACACTGCTGAGGGGAGCAGTGG